TGTGGAAGAGTATGGGGAAGGATAGAAGGACTCAGAAGGGACAGGAGCTCCACAAGAAGACCGACAGAACCAGCTAACCAGGGCCCAGTGTACCTCCGTCTACTGAAGTAGCACCAAGGACCATTCATAGACTGGACCTAGGCCCCCTACACAGACGTAGCTATGGGCAGCTCAGTCTTTAAATGGGTTCCCTAGTAAGGAGATTGGGGGATGTCTCTGACAGGCCTGCTTTTCGATTACTTCTTCCTGTCAGGGCTGCCTTGCCAGGCCACAGGAGAAGAGGCTGTGTTCAGTCCAGATGCGACCTGATATGCTGGGGTGGGTTGGTGAGAGGGTTCTCCTTTTAAAAGGATTAGGGGAGGGGGAATAAAGGGAAGAGGGACTGGGGTGTGACCAGAAGACGAGGAGGGAGAGGGCTGCAATCAGGATGTAAAGTGAATTAAAACTTTATATTTAAAAAAAAAATACAACCAACTGAAATGTTGTTAACCCTAATAACAATTTTTACTGTAAAACTCAGACTGTAAAAGCTGTAGGGTGTGTGTAGAGGCCAACACCTGTTTGGTTTGAAGTTCTAACTCTTGTCATCACCTTTTCTCCTAAAAATCAAGGGAAGCAGGATCATTGCTATTTCCATCTCCATGGAGATTTGTAAGACAGGCTTTGTGGGCTTTCTTCTTGGCTCTGTCAGGCCTTGACTCTCCTTTTTTTGCTGAGGTGAAACAGCTATTTCACTGCCTGCCTTTCCTCCTTGAGGAACTCCTTTGGTCCCTGGCTCAGCAGAGTTCCTGTAGCCTCTACCTTCTGAATCCTGTTAGTGCAGTAAAGAGCTTAGAAATCCCAGGAGAGGCTGACACAGGAAATAATTTCAGTGTCCTGAGCATGTATACTTAGGAGGAGGAAATCATTAGCCTTAGACCTTTTGCTGCAGCACTATAATAGAACTGGGCAGATTGGAGGATTCCTCTTCTTCCACATGTATGTGATATTCCAATGGGGACCAGTAAAGAAAAATGTAGCCTCCAAGCTAACCGGAACCATAGTAACCTTGAGCCCAGAGCTGTCCACACGAATTCTCTCTGGGTGAGCCACATGCTTTTCCCCACCAGCCGGCTAACTCTAAGTTTTAAATGCAAAGTGTGCATTTCAAGGACATTATGTGGATGGATTTGTGACAGTGCCTAGAGGACTTTGGGTCTATAAAAATGGAGAATAAATTACAAGGAAATATAAATATGGCATTTTCTTCAGCGACATTTATAATAAACCTCAGCACAGAAGGAAAACGGTGATTTCCTGTAGGTGAGCATGCTTAGTGGTGCTAGAAAAAAGTGTGCCGCCGAGCAGGAAACGGAGTTAAGCAAAAAGTGATTAAAATGATGACATCTCAAGAGCAAAGGAAGGTGCGTGCACTTCTGTTTCTGGCTAGGGCCATTGGTTTGTGGTCAGCAATAGGACGGCAGGTGAACTAGAGAGTGAGGGTGTAGGCCCCTCCAGTGCAGGTGTGTGGTAAGGAAAGAGCGGGGGATGGGTGGTTATGAGTTCACCTAGGATGTGAGATGATCTGAGGGCTGGTGGTCCCACTCACCTTCCTGTACCCCCAATGGTACTTTTCTTACCTAGGAGCCTCCCTAGTCAGGCTGCATATCATCAAAACTTCCTACCTACCTCAGCTCTGTGGACTCCTGATGAATATCTTCCCATTTCTATTTAGTTCAAGATACACATCTTAGACTACGGATTTAGGGGGCATTCCCTATCAGATTTCAGGATCTTCAATTATGTTGGACACAGGATGGACCCAATGATCCACAGTCTGATAGCCACAGCCAGCAGATCCAAAAAGGGGAAATCATTCACATTTCATGGTTGAAACACCAAATATCTATGCTACTTGGTTTCCTTTTTAACATCGTGTTAAAGTTTGTTATAAAAATACTTACAAGAGCTTCAAAATATCCATCACTCATCATTCCAGGACCATCAGCACCTGTCTGTGAATGTACCTACCCATTTCCCTCTCCTACCCTCCTTTTCTGATTATTTGTTTGTTGAGACCAGGTCTTACACCATCTTAGAGTGGCTTAGAATGCACAAAACTACTCTTGTCTCAGCATCCCAAGTACTAGGATTATAGAAGAATCTCTCCCTCCCTTCTTCTTCCTCATACCCCCTCTACACCCCTCTCTCTACGTTTTTGCCACCAGAGTATGTTAAAGCAAATTTCAAACATCATTTTCTCTCTAGCTATTTTAATTTGCATCTCAAAAGACTAAGACCATCTCTTTTATATAATCACATCAGCCACTAACGTTAAGAAATTCATTCTTGTCAGGCATGGTGGTGAACACCTTTAATCCCAGCAGAGGAATAAAGGAGACAGAGACAGGCGGATCTCTTTGAGGCCAGCCTGGTCTACAGAGCAAGTCCAGGACCTCCAAGGGTACACAGAGAAACCCTGTCTCCCAAAACAAAGAAACAAACAAAAAAAAAAGAAAGAAAGAAAAAGGAATTCATTCTTTTCTCTCTCACTCTTTTTAGAAAAATTCACTAACTTCTCAACATCATCAAAGCCTGTCTTTCAGAGTTCTCTGATGATTTATAAAATATCTCTTTCTAACATTTAAAAAAAAAATCTAAACAAGGGTTAGTCTATTATTTACTTGTCTAAGAAATTTTATATATCTTTATCTTTTAAAATGACTTTTAAACAGTTATTTTCTGTGCATTCATGAGCATGTGCATGTTAGGCCCAGGGAGAGCCTAACTGCTAGAGCGGCAACTGAGGGAAACTCAGAAACGGATCAATACAAAAGCAAGAGGTTTATTCAGACCATTGCGTGATGGGGCCACCTTACAAGTCAGCACGAAACACCAGCTGGGAGCAAAAGCCTTGGGTTTTTAAAGGAAAAAGCATGGGGTTGCAAGCTTCTCAGTACAGAATTGGTTCATTTCAGGCACCCAAGTCCCCAGACCTCTAAAGGATATCTGATCTTTAAGTTACACCGGGGATGTCTTAGGATGTGCAGATTCGGTCTTAGTTGGGGAGGGGGTGACCATCACATCCTGTGACTTCTCGGAAAAGCAGAGTGAAGAGCTATCTGGGTGAGGGAGTTGTGACCTTCGGGACCGGTAGCCAGGAAACCCTCTCCTGCCAGTTTGGACAGTACTTTACAATAGGGAGGAGACCTTGGGAACAATCTTTTGTAACAGGGAGAAGACCTTGGGCGCACTGTTTGGCCTACTTTAAACTTTTTTTACAGCAGGGTGTGTCTTGTCCCAATTCCTCTGCTTCTTCTGTCTGCGTCCTTCTGCTTTCTGGAAAGGTGCTGAGAGAACTTAGTTTACCATGGGGTATAAAATTCATATAAAGAGACCTGTAAGGTTATCTTGTCCCTGTCATTCATGCTATGGCATACGTGTGGAGTCAACTCTCAAGAGTTGGTTCCTTCTTTCTATCTTGTGAGTTCCGAGGCAGGCTTGGTGGCAAAAGCCCTTAACCACTGATTCCTGTCACTAGCCTCTTCTTCATCTCTCTCTTTTTAAAATTTTTTTTATTTTTTTAAATTTTTATTTTATTTTATTTTTAATTATACTTTATTTACTTTGTATCCCCCCTCTAGTTCCCTCCCTCCTCCCCTCCCAATACCTCCCTTCCCCTTTTCCATGCATGCCCCTCCCCAAGTCCACTGGTAGGGGAGGTCTTCCTTACCTTCCTTCTGATCCTAGTCTGTTAGGTCTCATCAGGAGTGGGTGCATTGTCTTCCTCTGTGGCCTGGTAAGGCTGCTCCCTGCTCAAGGGGAGGTGATCAAAGAACAGGCCAATCTTGTACAACCACTCTGGAAATCAATCTGGCGCTTTCTCAGACAACTAGGAATAGCACTTCCTCAAGATCCAGCTATACCACTCCTAGGCATATATCTTCTTTATCTCTTAACAAACATTTTCTCCCCTCTTCCTCCTCCTCTTCCTCTGTCCTCTACTTTCCCCAGTTACTATATAGAAAGTCTTATTTTCTGATTTTCTGTATTTGGCTGACTGCTAGTTTATGATTTTTTAACTTAACTATGCTGTGTCACTCACTTATAGACATGGAGCTAGGCCTAGAGTCTTGACTAGATTCAAATTTATTCATTCATTCGGTAGCTTGTTTTGGGCAAGAATATTTCTGCAGGGTTCCTCTATGGAGGACCACATTTTACTCATCTAGATTCATACCAATAACAGTATGGCTGTTAACAACGTTTTTCTCTTTTGGTACTGAGGGTTGAACCCAGGTTTGTGTATGCTAGAAAGTGTCCTTGTTATCCAAGTGTAGTACCATATACCTGTAATCCCAGCACTCAGGGAGGCAGAATTTGAGGACAGCTTGGTCTACAAAGCAACAAAGCAAGTCCAGGACAGCCAAGACTGCACAGAGTAACTCTGTCTCAGAGGGAGGAGGAGGAAGAAGAAGAAGAAGAAGAAGAAGAAGAAGAAGAAG